TTGCGAACTTCGCCGCGCAATTTGCCGCGCGCATCCTCGGACGCACGTTCGTACACATACCCCCTTTGGGGTCTGTCATCTGGTACCAACTCGTCCGAGAGGATGAAAGCACTGACTTGAACATCGGCTGGTCACCCATTTCATTGTACAAGATACATGTGCATCTACTCGTCACTACAATCCTGAATGGAAGTCTAGGGCGGGGCGCATTCCGAAAACGTGATTGACAATACCCGAAAGACTTCATGCTTATCCTCCGAAATGGAACACGATGGAGTGAAGTTGGCCAAATCTATGTCGTTTGTTGGTGTTTCTTTCTATTTGTTTAAATAAAGGGACAAAAATATGCGTGATTTCACAGTAACAAAGTAATTACCGATCATAATTTCTATTAATTTCTCACCTCTTTGGCAAGCTCTTTGATGTCATGTTCAACCGAAATAGTATTCACGACGATAGTACCTGAACAGGTCGTCTCGGAATCGCACTCTTGAGAAAGACTCTGTACTGTATTACGTTGCGCCTTCGGGATCAGGAAAAGGTTCAGGACAAGCCGTGATTCCTAATGGTGACCTCATCGTGATGTAAATTGAGACACAAGAAGAATTGCCACAAGGACACGAAAGAGATTCATTTCAATGTTGTTCATGTTCTGATCCCGTCACATATACGACGCATCGCAAGGTGGTATTAAGCAAAGTGGTCTTCCCTCGTTTTGTGCTCTTTGTTGTGCTGTGTCACACAAAGACATCCAACCACGAATCTTAGCCGGACTTCCGTAACAGCTGGGTGTTCGCCTCGGAGTTTCGTTTTTGTTGGTCAGCGTTCGATCGTATGTTTATTTTCGCGTTTTGTTTGATTTTTCTCTGTTGTGGCCAACATATTGCATATGCTCGAAATCTAATGTCGAAGTACCTGTTACAGCATGCTTATCTTATTCAGGTTTTGACTACTTCAATGCTCCTCTCTCAATTATTATTGATGAGCACAGTAGGATTTCAAGGGCATGTGCGGAATGAAGATAGTTCACTTCTTTGTTTAAACTTTTCCTACGAGTTCTCATAGAAACTTCTTCCTTATACGATTTATAGCATCGAATTCTGTCCAAAATTAGACTGACCATATTTAGTAGCTTTGGAATACCGTAGTAGAGGACAGGAAGCGGAATTAAGGGCCTGTCTGACAATCAACTACCATAGTTACCAGGTACTCGAGAGTTTAATTAATTGGGATACAACAGCACCGCCCTTCTGATATCCGACAACTCCCCATTGGCTCATTTGCTCTTCATGATGCATTTGAGTTAAGAACTTATAAATTTACATCAATGGAGGCAAACAGAAGGCAGATCATCACCAGGATCATCACTTATTGACTGACCTCTTGGTTCAGCCAATTTGGCGAGAAGATCTCGAGCTTTCGTTGTAGTGAATGTTTCAACTGGGCATAAGAACTTGGCATTCTCATCCAGGGTACATGCATCCAAAAATACCAAGTCATAGCGCTTTCCTGAATAGCTCTTATTGATAACTTTGATTGGGAGTTACCACATGATTTTGCAGTTTACAACAATTCATACGGCCTGTATCCTTTCTGATCTCTGTAGGAGAATCTATGGCAAACACATTTACACCGTGCTGAAGGGAAGCTGTATGAACCACGCCAAACTCGAACGAATACCGCACGACTTCGCTGCATAGGAATTCTAATGATCATATTACCATTCATTACCAGATGTCATTATCAATGGAACTTCTCTTAACGGATATACACATTAGCTGAGACTTGTAGACGACCGGATAAGTTTTGTCGCAAATAATATCGAAATAAAGAAAACCCGTGATCTTCCATTTAGTCACACAGCTTGCACTTTAGCGGTCGAAATGAAATGAAATTCCATATCCTCACCATGAAGTGCCTTCAATCGGTTCCCATCACTGCACTCACCGCTTACTTTGTATCATCCTATTCTGCCATGCCGTCTTATCGAATTAATGCCAACGCTTCAGGATTCAATTAGTGAGGTGTTCTAGCTTTCTAAGGCCTCTTATCAGCTCTTAACAGTTGGTAACAGTTTCTCTCACCGAGTACCTACGATCCCGTCGCATCCTACATCACTTAATGAAATGCCAAGGTTCCACAGTTAACACGAAGGGCGTTACAAACAGGTGGCTCCTGCCTTTTTGGGCCGTTGTCAGTTCCTATCAATTGTCACCAATCCTTGACCAATCATCTACGGTCCTTTAACATCCTAAGCCACATAGTAATGTGCCGAGGCTCCACTGTTAACATAGCAGCATTATTGAACTAGCGGTTCTCGCCATCCATAGCTCCTTAGTCCTACCAGCTGTTAACATATCCGGTACTTTTTTGATCCGCACCACCTACTAAAGTGTCAGGGCTCCAACATTAACACCAAGTGAGTGACGGATACTGTGGCTTGCTTTCTGTCAATTGTTATCATTTCCTGTTACTACCATCAGTGCTGTCATCCAGCCTCCTGTATCCCTTTCAAACAAAACTCGAACGCTCTAGGTTTAGGGGGGCAGGAGTTGTGAATTTCAAACACACTCGCATACACACACCCACACACACACACATACACAAATACTCACACATACACACATACACACATACACACACACCACAGAGACAAGAGCTTTGCATGCTTGTACATGCATTGTATGTCCACGACCGCTCATCCATAGACTTAAGACTTCTGCAGGTACTTCATCAGGTGATATCGAAATTCCGTGCAAAGAGACAGACGCGAGCGCCTTATATATTAGTGAGGATTACCTTTCTCCACAGCTTTTTCGATAAAAGCCATTCCATCGGCTATTATCACCCTGTGGTTGTCGTCCATTTGCAATTCGTACCAATTTTGGGCAATTTCAAGCAATTTCGGATCCAATTCCACCACTGTGATGTTCAGCTTAAAAAAATGTCAGATTTTTTCACTTCACTTTCTTACTTCGGTCATCACAAAAAAATTTCCTACGAACACGAGGAAAATGATGGTGCAGGAAACTGTTCAAAAAGCCTGCTCCCAGACCGATCGATAGTACAGTTCCACTAATGTTCTGTCGAGATTCTAGAGCTCCACTTATGAAGGCTTCTTCTTGAAAAAAGATATTTTCATTAAATTTTTATGGAAATTTTGGAACATCAAGCATGTTGCCATGCTTCCTATGAATTCGAAGTTCATTATATCATAAACCTGCGATGCTATCATACTCACGCTTCTATTAACTTTTATTCTATAAAATATTATTTTCTCACCTATCATTGTCATCAAGTAGCTACTGGAGGCTGTCGCTCCTTTGTCTACTTCCCATGTACTAGAGTCAAGATTGGTAAAGGTGAGCTCTAGAATGGACATAAAACGGTCATCTCAATAAGAAATGTGTCGCGTTCTGTATATAATTAAATCCACGTACTCCATGAGACCTTTTGCAAAATTTCCTCACATGCCGCACATGTGGATGCGTGTACCCGTGAAGACAAAGAGGATTAGGGGGGAGGGGGGAGGGGGGGGTTACAAGCTTGTCCTTTATGAACCTTCGAGAACGTACACCACGGTTGCGAAGAACAACGCTGAGTCTTTCGTGGGTTGTGAAGAAAGTGCTTACCTGTGTGATTTCTGAACCAGCATCGAGACCTATATTAAAGGTTAATACTTTTCCTGAACCATATCCAGAGTTGATGCGGTGGCAAGTGACTTTGCGGACTGAATCCTGGATTAATACTCGGCTAGACCAACCAAGCTTCTACCATCTTTTCAGGTTCGGTTGATTGGTACCAGTATCGTCTAGGAGGATGAAAACAGTGACGTACTCATCGGCTGGCGACAGCAATACATTGTATAGGTCAGATGCGCGTTCGTCACGCCACTACGATTCTGAATGGAAGTCGAATGCGGGGCGCATCTCAAAAACGGGATGGGTTGACCGAAAACTTGATCCCTTTTCATCTTCCATTTTTCGAACTGCACCATTTCACAGTCATAGAAATGAAGGTCGACCAGGGTAGGGTAAAAGTAAAACTATCCTATCCTAATTATTCAAGGCGGAATTCCAAATCAAAGGTCATGAAGGCAGATATTGAGGGCTATATAAGCCGGAATATAGGCAAGGATAAGATCACGCTGGTGCTGGCCGTTAAGTCTCAGAACGGAACATACCTGATGGTAACTTTAATCGCATATGAGAAATCCGTATTGATCCCGACATAATCTCACGAATTAGCGAAAACCTGCAGTAGGCAATCTCAGCATTGTCCATAAATCGATGCTCTTACGAAAAAAACATTTATTTACCTATCGCCATATTGATCAACGCTGTCTGCTATATGCACACACTGGCCGTCCATCAAGCACACTGATTCCTCACTGTAATTACGACGGGTATGGAAAGTTTGAAGTAAGATGTCTAAAGTAGATTGATTCTAGCCTACGATATGCGGTTTTGCAACTTCTTTGGAAGAGAAGCTTTCAGGATTCACAAGGTTGGCGATTTGTGGGCAAAACTCCAGTCTCGGACGGGACTTGAACCCGTACTAGTACGGGTTCAAGTCCCGTCCGAGACTGGAGTTTTGCCCACAAATCGCCAACCTTGTGAGACTTTCGCTTCGCGCACTGCGGCGTTAAAACAGCAGTTAACAAAACATCAAGTCAAAACAAGTGCTTTCAGGATTCTCTCGGTACCTCTCAGCTTTCATCCTACAAAAGGCCTTCCTGATCCCAATGAAAGGACTAGTCTATTCAGCTTTCTAAGGATGAAATTCAAAAGGTTCTTTCGGTTCTTCTTCTACATGCCCTAGACATATCTCCCCCCACTAATGAAAGCATTAACCGGCTCGATTCTTGACTGTTCTTTAAGCATCCCGGTTGTTGGAAGGACAGAGAAACATTCCATACCGAAAGACCCTTATAACTTAATCTAGGGCACCTCTTTTCTATATGACCTGCTCACATGCCTAAAAAATTGCACGATTAGGTGAAAAAACTCGTGAGTTGAGAAACCACTAATCAAAGAGCGATTTTCTGATAGAACTGTTTTGTTCACTATCGCTGGCAAAATACTGTTAGACTATACTATAATTATAAGATATATAATACTTACAGGATCCTGGAATAACCATATTTCTCCATGTAAAGTTTACCAAATTCCTCGAGTGACAGAACTTTACCCGATTCCGTTGTTTTCGTTAATTTGTCGAGATTATTCTTTAAACGAACGATAACAGCTGCCTGAATAGAGTAAAAAAAAAGGACTGAAGCCGAGATTTGAAATTTTCGTATTTACCAGAATAGCACAAAGAATGATATTTTTCAGTGTAAACAGCCATCGTGAATGGTGATTCATTGAAAATGAAAAGCCGGACGGGAGAGAGGAAAATGATAAGAGCTGCCACGTATGTACTACATCCCTGAACAGACGTGACATGGACGGAATCAGGAAGATTTTTTGATGACCACCCACTAGGGCGATGCACTCTGAATGGGAGATCCACCAAACATAAATTGTAACACGTGGCTCATCTATTCGTTGAGTGCACTTTAACACACTAATACCTTCATTCAGGCGTAGAGTATGCTGTACGAGTGCCTTCAGAGGAAGATCGCATGCTGCTGGAGAAGGAAGACCAGCGAAACCTATGAGAACGGCGTATGCAACGACTTTAAACGTAGATCGAGTTGATGTAAGGCACCCATAGCCAATAAAGTTGCTGTGATACACGTTGGAGACGGTGGAGATGTACTTGCCGACTTAAAGCTGCAGTGCACCTGAAAGGAGGAAGGCTGCGATCTTTCACTGTGATTGACCTCGGATGTGATCCTTTTGTCTATCCGGTCCTATTTCCACGTGAAGAACCGGCATAGCATCCTATGTACTGAAAAACCCATTGAAAGAACCTCGTGCCAGAATAACCCAGGAGGTGTATTATTAGGGTGTCTCAAAAGTTTTGCAAAAATTTATTTGGTTTATTCAACAAAAAAATACTACAACAAAAAGGTGAGATCAGTAATCGAGATAGTGGCCCCCTTTAGCCACGACCTCCCTCCATCGACTGGACAGAGCACTGATGCTATTCATCCAGAGCAAAGAAGGGCGTGAAGCGATTCATTCATCTACTTCACTTTTGCCTCCTGACGGTTATGAAATTTTTTCCCTGTGAGATAAGCTTGTAGTCTCCTGCAGACGTGGTAGTCGCAAAGGCTAAGGTCAGGTGAATACGGAGGATGGGGTAGCCAGGTACTTTCCAGCTCCTGAGCCGTCGCCCAGAATGATGTGGTCGAGCGTTGTCCATCAAAATCAGAAACTTTCCCTGTAGTCTGTGTGAAACCGGGGCTCAAGACGCCATCTCCCGCGGCTGCTCGCAGAACACTCTTGCTGTCATAGCAGTACCCTATGGTAGGATCCCGTAGAAGAAACAGCCGGTGGAGCAGAAGAAGAACGAGATCTTATTCTTTTTGACGTGCGCCCCACGCTTTGCAACGGCTTCTGGCCTTATGTCGATTGGTAGCCACAGGAATTTCCTGTGTGGATTTTCATAAGAAATCCACTTCTCATACTGAGCGGTGATGAAGCTCGTCCAAGCCACCGTTCGCTTGTGGTCGAGTAGCTTCCGACACACATCGACCTGCACCTGACGCTCGCACTCAGTCAATGTGTGGGGGATAACTGCAGGAAGTGTTTGCGAAAGCGACATCTGCTTGGGGTGTCGTGGATGGTGGAACGGGAAGCAGAAGTCGTCCTCTCCATTTCCCTCAAGCTTTGAGAAGGGTTGCTCTGGATAAAGACTAAGGCAATGCCGGTCTTGGTGGAACGTGGAGGTCCGCTCCGTACCGCTTCGTCGACGTGGATCTCTCTCTAGGGAAGCAGCCGTACCACCTATAACAGGAGGCGAGAGAAGGTGCAGTACTGCCCATCGATGACTGCAATTCATTCTGGGCTTGAGTGGCGGAGTGACCAGATCGGCAGTAGTGAAGCAGAACGTGCCGGTAGTCGTGTCGGTCGGACATAATTCAAATTATGATAACTCACTTCCAAAGATGAAGTGCAATGCGGTTCTCTTGTTTTGACGATCTACCAAGTGTGCCCTTTTCCTGCCCTTTTGTCCGTGGATCCCTAATACTTCAATATGTTAGCGTCTGGAACGAACTCAATCCTGTTCACTTTGGCTGGAAAACTACATCAACATTCTTTTTTTCACAGTCACGTCAAGAAAGATCGGACGAATTCCAATCGCATTTATCAGTCTGAAGTCAGAATAAACAAAGGCTCTCTGACTACGTGGCAGGTGGCAACGGCATTACAGGTCCACCAGGTGTAAGTCGTGTTATACTGCCCTCATAGGTGCCAGGATCACCACGCGCAGTAGCACAGAATTTTTGAGGGGTATCTACAGTTACTGAGATTACAAGGCGCTCATATGACTTACGCTTTACAAACACTGTATGTGAACCCTACAATTTGTTATTTTTCATTTCTCTTTCACCAGTTCGTCTTAGCCAGTTCGAAGAACAAACTTCTTGATATCACTGGCTTTCAACGGACCGCAAGCGGCCGCATACGTAACAATGGTGATCAGAATTATGGCAACAATGACATACAAACAATACCAACATTTCTTGAAGGCACTCGCGGACGCTCTCAAAGTACAACAGATGGCGAAATTGAGTATACAGGCAATGGAATGAAACAGAACTTTCGACATGCCAGCAGTACCCATCGCCAAGTTAGCTATGACTCCGGCGCTGACTTCACGTTCGAAGCAATGACGGCAAGATATCTTATCCACAAGGAAGAATTTTTAGGCTCGTTAAGAAGACGATACCGCGCAGCGCACTTCAGTCGTCATCCTACGAGGCCAACTCCAAGATCTGAAGCCGTGTCAACTATGTCACGTGTACATGGCAACTACCGCGATTTGCCATAGTAATCGTGGTCGGAGGACCTATACATTTTTAAGTGGACAAAGCAGCGGATATCACGATTATCAACGAATTGACATAGGAATAGATGGGCGTTCGCAACTGCATTCTCGATCTCTCATGGCTCACAGCGCCTCAGTAGGTCGGGTCGGTTTCATAGAACACGAAAATGCGCTTACAGCTTCAATTCAAAGCCTACACAGGGAACGTTTCACGTCGGCCGTACTTAGCCTAATCTACTAAGCCCGGAATTTCTAGGGTGAGAACCTACACCATCATGTATACACTTCTAAAAGTCGAAACTGCTCACTCCGTCGCAGTCAACGACAGACAGCAGCAACTGTTCAAGCACTGACCGCATTGCGAAGGAGCTACAACAGACTTATTCAGATGTCTTTAGCTGCAACCACGGACTGTTTGAATTCCTAAGAGTACACTTGGCCTCGAAAGGTGCGAAACCGCTTTTCCTCCGGGAACGACAAGTGCAGCTCTTTCATAGAATTTCTATTCGAAGACAAACAACGTAATGGTCGCCCATCGTATTGAAATGAGCGTTTACTAAGCGCCCTTCAGAAGCAGCCGAATGCGACCAGTCGCAAATTGGCGATAACAAAAGGATGCACTCATGCAACAGCTACTGAGCACCCCCGGGAGCTTGACTACATGTCAATATTCTCACGATGGGTTCCTCATGAAGTGCGCCTGTTGACTAGACGAAAAGGATGCACGTGGCCGAGTTTAGTCTGCTTCGTCTCCATTGAGAGGAATCATTGCGAGGCATAGTGACCGGAGATAAGAGCTGGGTACTTCACGTGAACAATACACATAAGCGCCACTCGGTTGTGCGAGAAGAAAAGCCACCTACGGAGCTTAAAGCAGATCTCCATGAGAAGATGGTTTTATGGTGTTGCTGGTAGGATTGCGTGGAATGATCTACTGGGAGCAGTAAGACAGTGGCACAGCGGTAACAGCCACAGACGCTAACCAGCTACAAAAAGTGGCCGATGCAATGCGAGAGCTACGCCCAGAAAGACACAATGTCTTCCTACTTCACGATAACGCTCGCCCACATATGTCCAACGAAATGTGTCTAAAAATAATGGAACTCTGATGAGAAGTACTGCCACATCCGGCTTACTCATCGGACTTCGTGCCATATGATTATCACCTCAAACTTCATAAGATGTTTCATGGACGCAAATTGTGAGTGGTGGTATGATGTTTCTTGCTGTATGTGTTTTTTTTTTGCTTTTTTGCTGTTTGAGTTTGCGACAGCTTTGCTTTCTTTGTTTGTTACCTCAGTGTACCTCAGTGTGTACATTAAATAGATTAGTAGGCGAATAAATTCACGCTGATAACGGATCACAAGCCCCTGCTCGCCATATTAAGCCCAAAAAGGGAATCCCTGTCGCGAACAGTTTACAGAAAAGGGCAACGACACTTCTATCATATGACTTCAATATTCAGTACCGGTCGACAAAAATCTTCGCTCAAGCAGATGCACTCTCACGTCTATTGCAAAGTGCTCTGACCCTGAAGAAGAACGAGTCATTGGCGCCATTTCTGTGGATTAGAACATCAGATGCACATCTGCAAATGCAGTTCAAACTACCATTCACCGCGGATGACGTCCGGAAAAGGAAAGCCGAGCATCATTTTCTCTAGCAAGTCAATGGCTACCCCAGAGGAACAAAAATTAAAGAAGTTGCTCTGTTTCTATAATCGTCCCAGAGTGCTCTCAACGCTCGACTGATGCATAATGGCGGGTGTATGTCGTTTGGCGCGGCCCTTCGCACCCAACTTGCCATTGGGGCAATTAGGCTCATAATTGCCTTCT